ATATTTGTAAATTTTAAAAGCATTCCTAGTAGAAATCAATTTTACATTAGCTAATAGTGATAATATTCTTACTTGCAACAGAGAAATCAAATGGAAATAATTTGTTTAATATATTCAGCTGAGTCTGTTCCTTCTGATTCATACAGAGAAACAGCCTGACCACCCACCCCGACAACTGCCTGAGGCTGTCATGCAGGCTGCAAACATCACTGCCCACCGCAGACCACGGGAGCAGAAAGCCTGTTTCGTGTTCCTTGACACCTGGTAATGCCCACCCTACGTGTGCACAGATTCAGAATGCTCAGGATTCTCCTCTTCCTGCTGCAATATTGGGGCTGCCCATCATTTCAGAAACCCGCTTCTGTAGACTAAGAACAAAAGACCAACTGTCTTCTAGGTGTTAATTGAATACTGTGAGGCTAAAGTGCCCCAGCTCATTTAGGGGATGGGCAAGATTGAACTGAGCAAACTTCTCCTAACTATAACACCCAGCTACTGCTCAGTGTCATCTCTCTCTCTATTCTCTTGTATTCTCATACCCAAAAGATCCTGGGTTTTTTCCCCTTCAACCGATAGCCATTTCTCCCTATTCTTATATTGGTTCATTCCATTATATCCCCCTTAATTGTTATGGGATTTTTTTTTTTAAAAAAAAGAGAAACTCTGAAGACATTAAATTGGGTTGAGATATTTGGCTGACTGTCATCCAGAGAAAAATATGAAGTTAAATCCCTACCCTAAAATAGTCACAAAATAAAAATAAATTTCAGTTAGATTAAATACCTAAATATATATATTTTAAAAGCCTATATAATGTTAAATGCATAACTGAGGAATATAATCATAATTTGGAGAAGTGGAATTGGAGTAGATATCAGGTAACCCTCAAGATGTAAACTCTAAGAAAAAAGATACATATATTAGCCTGCATTAAAATAAAAATATCTGTATGATAATATATATCATAAAGCAAACTAAAAGACAAGTGAAAAAGCTGAGTAAATATTTCCAGTGCATATAATAAAGGGTTCAAATATAGAATATATTTTATAAGATCTATAATTGTACTTTTAAAGATTAAAAACTCTATAGATAGAAGCAAGATATGAATAAACAGTTCACAGAAGGTGAAATATAAATGGCCAATAGTCATTTAGAAGATGCTCACCCTCACTAATAATTAGAAAAAAACATATCGCCACAGAAACAATTTTTTATTCATATTGACAAAATTTAAAGAAAAAGACTGGAAATATCAATTATCAATACGGTTATTGAAAAATGGCAATTTGAAAATAATGTTCCAAAGAGCATAAATCAGCCCAATTTTTAATAAGAAAATTTGACTAAAATATATTTGGTGAAACATTAATTATCTAGGGTATAAATTGCTTCAGTTGAGAATCTAGGTCTTAAATTATTTGACGTTATTATCTGCACCTGGTATTGTTTGACATACACACAGACACATACTTGGGTGTTAATAAATAACTTATGGATTGAATTCTTTACTCAAAAACCACTTTCTCTCTTCCGTTTAGATGACATTTAAGATGTTATTGTGGATAATATGGCACACTGGTAGTTACACCTGTGATTTTTTTCTTACTGAGCAAAACAGAGACATTTGAAATATATGTGCTTATTGGCTGAGAAATCAACTGCAAAGAATAAAGACCTAGTTTAAGTCATTCCTATTAATAAAGTAACTGCTAAAACACTGTTATAACATTTTTATCTCATTCTCTTCAATGTGTATGTCTAATTTCCAATATGTACTTTTATTACTCCCATGCTCATGTTAGGCAGCATTTAGTATACATTAAACAAATGTTTTACCACTTTGCTCTGGATGGTAGAGAAGGAAGAAATGAATACAACGTGGCTTAGACCTTGAGAACCTGGCTGGGGAAACAGCATGTGTAACAAAGACTCAGGGACAAGCGGTGAGGGGGATCAGAAGATGGCAGACTGGAAGCAGCCTGCGAGCACGCCACTCTCAAGGAAACAGTGTAAACTGTAGGAAGATGCCTACCTATGGATAGCTCTTCCTGGAAGGAACATTGTGAAATCACAAGAGAAGCCATGCGGGACACTCAGTGTGGAAAACAAGGTGACAGGGTGATACGTTGGACAAGATCAAAGTGATGTGTCTATACGCAGGGAAGACTAGGAGGATAGAGCACTGGGGTGCTGCACCCAGCCCGCAGACAGAGTGGCTGAGTTGTGACAGCGCTCGCTCCCAAGCCTCAACCTGGACAGACGGGGGACCTGCCTGGAGTCTGTGCAGAGTCATTGCACCAGACAACAGGCATGGTGGGGACTGGGCAGCAGCCAATCCCAGGTTTCCACAGCTAAAGCTATCCTGTGCTCTCAGGGACACAGCTTTCTGGTGGTGGCCTTTACATCACCTCTACTAGGCTGGGTAGGGAGCAGACTAACTGGAGGCTCCTGTGAGCTCCTGGAAGCTAAGCGTCCTTCCCCTACAGCGCAACAGGATCTGAACACGGGAGTTGACCAGGTCACTGCAGGCTCCTACCTGGGAGGCTTTGGGAAACTGCTTCCACAAGTCCTGGAGGGGCCGGGGGAACTCCATGGTCCCTGGGCACCTAGAACTGACCTCCACTTGTCAGACTTGTCATCCGTGCAGTGTCTGAGCCTGCGGAAGAGCCCGTTGGCTGCTCAGCCCTGATTCCACCCTCCTGATTGAGTCAATCCTCCATCCATACGGTCTTGCTTCCGTCTCTGAGGCCCTGCTCAGAAGCCCTGCTTCTGGCTCCTCCCCAGTCCCAGCTCTGAGGCTCTCACACTGGAGCCCAAGCCTGTCCCCATGGCTCCAGAGCTCCTGCAAGGCTCGAGACACCACCACCAAGATTCCAGTGCTGTGCCTGGACCCCAAGACCCCACCCCAGAGCCTCCAGCACTGCCCCAGGGCTGCCAGGCCACTTTTTTCCTTTTGTTGAGTGAGAAATGCAAGTTGAGGGCCAGCACAAAGTTACCTGAGACTGTAAAGGATATGAAAGAGAAGAAAGGGTGAAAGTGAGGTAAGTACACAAAGAAAAGTAGACAGATAATGGGCCTAGAAAATAAAACAGAATTCTCAGATGCTAGTGGGTGATTTCAGATATAGACAAAGAAGATGCGTTACATACCAAGAGGCTTTCAGAGCAAATGCTTCCATCATCTTGCTCCGGTGATATGGTGGTAAAAGACTTGGTACATGACCATGTGTTGGGTCCGTCTCTGAGTAGTTGTAGGTAAAATGCCAGCTTTCTACATGGGCTCTACAACTGTAATTGTTTATTTATAAACTGTCCTCTTTCAAGTGTAAGCCAATAAAGCTAAGTACATGTGCTTTTCTATCTTGACATTTCCAGTAACTCACATAGAATATATAATATTTGTTTAATAAGTAGTGGTGGAATGAATAATAAAAAGAAAAAGGAATGATCCAAATTGTGCCTAGGCATGGAGTGAGAGACTGAGTGACTTGGACTGATCAGAGCTGGTACCAATGCAGCCACTAGACCAGCCAGTGATTCTAGGGTATGTGTCCTGTTGACCCCAACTGGTTTAAAGGATAGCCTTTAGTAGCTAAATCTTCATTTCCCTTGTTCATTAAAAGGAAGGAAGGAAGGAAGGAAGGAAACAGGGCAGGTATATATTGCCTGAGGCTATGGGACAGCCCATTATTTTCTCTAGTCCCTTTACAAATGTTTGACACCAATACCAAAATACAAACACTCAAGCTTTTTCCTTCTATTAACTGTCACCATGGCATGTCTATTTGGGAAAATATAGACCATACATTGTCATCATGCGCGTGTAGAGAGAACGTCCATATTCTCTAAATTAAGAAATAGAGTCTGTCCTCTATGCATTTTATTCAACTGATATGCAGTGTCAGCATTTCAAAATCCAGGGCTAATGTTCAGAAGGTTTTCATTGTTCTTGTTGTTAAGAAACTCGGGATAAGTTACTACATTAAAATTTTAAAAGTTAAGTTCAAATTATAGACACAGTAACCTTAAAAATTTTACTCTAAAATCATAGTGATTATATATTCAATATGTATATTTGAAAGCAAAACTGTGTGTTTGGATGAAACCAAAGGACAATATGCCAATACATATATATTAAAAAATGAAACAATTCTGATTAAAATACTCTTTTGCAAGATTTATTATGATGGTTACTTCAGATGTTAGGCTCTGAGGAGCTAAGATTTTCTTTTCATTATTTGAAGATGAATCAATTATTATTAGCCTAACTAAAGAAGGGAAATGGGAAAGGTATTGCTGAATTTTAATAGAAGAGAAAAATAGTCAACATTTTAGGGCTATACTATAGAAGATGAGAATGAATTTTAAATGTGTTTTAGTTAGACCAAGTGCATTTACCTGTGGTTTTTTTATTCCATCCAGCAAGTTATCATACTTGCATATTTAAAATACCAGAGGAAGGCACTCAACTAGCTTAACTACAGAATGTAGATCAAAGAAAAATATTGTTTACATAGTGGGAAGTGAGACTGTTCCGATAAGTGGAAAACCCCAAATCTCTTTCAACTAGCCCAGTGTTAACAGATTTATTAAATTTTAATGTTCTTGGCAAGTACAAATACACTTTCATCCAGATTAAAATTCAGCCATAGCAGTCCTGATAGTTATTCAAGATTATGTTTCCCCTAGATTTTGTAACCGCATCTTCTATTAATATTAACATCCAGACATCTAAGAAATTAATACATTTATGAGTTTTTCAGTTTTTATCAAATATTTCGAGAAGGTTCGACTGGACAGAAAATGATTCCTACAATAATGGAATTCTTGAATGGCTACTTTTTCTTCCTAATCTCAAACCAATCAACAGTGGTCATTTTTATCAAAGGGAAAGTGATAAAATTTATTAAATAATATAAATTTATAGCCATAAAGTCTTTAGCAATTTATCAGCTTTCTGACTATAATAGAAGAAGAAACAGAACCAGAAAGTTTTAGCCTCTAGCGGAGTGTGTGTATATAAATTTTAAATATGTTTTAGTCACATTGTATATATATTACATTATATACATTGTATACATATTACTATATATTATATAGTATATAGAATATAATACATGGATACATGCATAAATATATGTACATACAAATATACACAAAATCTGAATACTTAACCTTTCTGCCTATGTTTGTACATATTTACAGACACATGTGTATGTGTGTGGCAAGAGAGAGAAAGAGAGTGGGAACAGGAATCTATGTCTTTGTCTTTCAGAACAGTCCTTTCTACTACAGAATCTCTGTATAATTTTAAAATAAATTGCTTTAGTGCTATTGGTATGTTCATCATTTTGTCATTAGTAAAGCTAATTTCCTACCCTTATTAAAAATAACTTCAATGAAGTGGTGATTCTTACTTCGGAGTCCAAAGTAGCTTCTACAACTAAAATTTTTCATTTTACTTTCCACCAACTTCTCTGGCAGCCTGTGCATAATTGAGAGTGTCCGTTGATGAAAGTCGCTGAGCAAATGTTATATCTGTCTGTGTGTTTTTGTAAATATTGCCATGTTTCTTCAGTGAGAAGAAGGGATGAGTTTCTTCTCCTGATACTCAGAGAGCCAGTGCCAGCACCAATTCTAATTTGCTGATTCAATCTGATTGCCACAGTTGCTACCCCATATCCTTAAGTCATCAAGTGAAAAGAGATACCAGAAAGTAGCCACAATATATGATGTAGAATCAATAAATGACGGGTTTATTCTGAGGCAACCTTTGAAATAATTTTGGTTGCTGAAGATACTGAATCTTTAGCCTCTTATAAATTATATTAGCTTCCTCTGAAGTACTTGAGATAGTTCAGAAGAAAGGACTATTCCCTTCAAAATTAACTTACTAATTTGAACAGCAGGATTTACGTGATGACATGTAGGCTGCCAAATGTGAGGAAGACAAATGTATTCTCATGTATTTCTTATTTTGCCACAGTTAGAATTTATTTTGTATTTTGGGCTCTTTATTACAATTTTATATTTTCTTAATTTTTTGAAATCTTGGCATTAAACATTATGCTTGGCACATAGTAGACACTGAAATCATGATAAATAAATTGAATTGAATTCACTTTGTGTTACTCTTTCTGTGAGATCCTTAGAGAAAGATATGCTTCCTTTAAGTATTAGTGCTGGTACCTTAAAAGGTTGCAGTTGAAATAATATTTTGAAAGAAAACATCCAGGCATTAAAAATGGGTCAAAATTCTCTTGTCAAACAGGTGGGATTCCTACTGAAATTCTTTGTCCACAGCATGACTATACCAAAACCCAGGCTCACAGCGTGGGAAACTAATTAAGACTTAGCTTGGCCCAAAAGAAAAGAAAAAACCTTTGAACTTGTAGGATAATTCATACATTTACTACCTGTGAAGAACTACAATGATTTGCTTAATAAAAACAAGATGAACATTGAAAATGTTATCTTGATATAAATGCTGAAATACAAATATAATTTATATCTGATGAACATAACGTAGTTTCTTAGCATGAGTAGCTGTTACATAAAGTCTGTCAAACAGGAGTGAGGAACTAAGCGTCCTGTTCAATTAGCCTCCTATAACCAAACAAATCATCCAAATTAGTGCTCACCTTCTCCACCTTACTAAAGAGGGTGAAAATATGATTGTATTTAGTAAACTCATATGCATATATAGTGGAAATACCTTCATGTATCCAGCCTATGCTAGATTCCTTTATGATTTCAAATTACTGAAAAACAACACAGGAAAATTGGAGATGAAGTAAGCAACTGAATTAACCAAAGTTTTTTTTTCTCTTTCTCTTTTTGTCTTTTTTCCTCTCTCTCTCTCCTTTCTTCCTTTAACTAACCTTTTTTTTAAATGTCACAGATGTTACTAATGATGCATAAATTGCTGGAACCAATGTGGAAAATATTTCACAAAAGAAACATTATCCTTTTAGTTTTACTGCCAGGTGTAAATTGATTCCATACTGTCTGGTCATCATTTTTGTTGATTCTGTTTTAATCAGCACATAAATTTATTCTCTTGCATTGACATTTGATGTTTTAGTTCTTCTCACTATTTAATATGACATCAAGCTCTTTCATTTGGGTGATGGTGACAGACAGAAAGAGTTAAGGTTACCTAACTGCTCAGAAAATTAAGGATAGGAAATGATATTAATAATTGAAATGCTTACATCATGTTATTTTCAAACTTGTTTATATTTTAGCTCAGTTCTTAATGGCCAAGCATGATTTGACTTTTAAAATATAGTTTTAAATATATCTGTATAATTAACAGTTTTTGGATGTTCAGATGGTCTTATTAAAATTTATAATTACAGGACATTTGCCACAAAGTCTTATGAAAACTAATATTTCACCTAAGGAGCATTCCCTAAATATCTAAACTTTAGATTAGAAAGTGATGGTAGCTGACTTGACACTTGAACAAAACTCTAGTAAGTGTGTCTACTCCCTGAATGTTTTCATGCACTAGGTTCCTCTCCCATGAGTCATACATTTGGGAATCCTACTAAAAAATAAGTCACTCAAATATTTTAAATGGTAATTTGACATTTTTATGATTATGTGTGTTTTAGATAGGTTGAAACCAAGAAAGAAACATTAAAAGACAAGATGTCCGGTATACATCGATGTTTATTTATTCACT